AGAGAGATCCACACACACTCTCACACTCACTCTACACTCATTCACACACACGCTCACACACACGCCACACACTCTCACACACAACCCACAAACACCTCACACACTCACACACACTCCACACGTCCACTCTCACACACTCTCACACACACGTCTCACACACCGCCCCCAACACCTCACGACAACCCCGACACACCTCTCACACAGGCACACACACACACTCTTCACACACACTCTCACACTACCACACATCTCACACATACTTCACACCACTCTCCCACACGCCCACACACCACTCTCACACACACTCACACACACACTCGCACACTCTCACGACAACACACACTCACACACACGCACCTCTCACACACACAACACACTCACACACCACTCATCACACATTACTCTCCACTCACTCTCACACACACTCTCACGACACACGCCACACACCTCACAGCACACGCCCACACAACACTCTCACACCAGCCACACCACTCCACACTCACTCTCAACTCACTCTCACACCACTCTCACACACACTGCCCACACACTCTCACTACACACGCCCACACACACTCTCACACCACCACACACTCTCACACACACCACACGCACATCTCACACCACACACACCACTCACACACACTCTCACACATACTCTCACACTCACTCTCACACACACCTCTCACACTCACCCACACACTCTCACCACACACCCACACCACTCTCACACAAACGCCACACACACACTCTCAACACAACAACTCTCACACATACTCTCCCTCATCTCCCACCGCCACACCTCACACACCACCCACACACAGATCTCATACACACACGCCCACTACACACTCTCAACACACACACAACACTCCTCACACATACTCTCACACTCACTCTCACCACACACAGCCACACACTCTCACCAACACGCCCCACCACCTCTCACCACACACCAACAACATCTCACACACACGCCCACACAACTCCACTACCCCCACCACACAGTCACTACACGCCCACACACCTCACACACCCACCACACTCACCCACTCACCTCACCTCACTCAACACACACTCTCCCACGGCCCCACCACACACCTCACACACACCACATACACACACCCCACAACTGACACAACACCACACTCACATACCACTTCACACAACGCCCTTCACACACACTCACATACCAACTCACCAACCACAATACAACTCAGCCACACACTCTCAACACACATCCACACACACTCAATATACACACATCCCACAACTCCAACACAACATCACACTCACAACACCACAACATCACAACTCACACACACATCCACACACACACTCACATACACACATGCCCACACACTCTCACACACACCACATACACACTCACACACACCCACACACACTCTCACACACACCCACACTCACATACACACGCCCACACACTCTCACACACACCACATACACACTCACACGCCCACACACACTCACACACACCCACACACACACTTTCTTTGTCTCATCGATGCTCTCTAATACTTTTGGACGATGAGCTCACAGAGGACACAGGCCAACTTTGAGAGTGAACTCCCTGTTTCGCTCAAACCCGACTCTTGTGCCAACGACGACTTCGCCGTCGTACTGTAGACCCGCCAGCTCTGCAGTCAGCTCCCTCCCATCCCCGTGGCTGCGACGCCGGCTTCTGCCATCGCCACGTCAGCCTGGGCTGCAGCAGGCCTCCCCAGCCCGGCCCGCCCCGCCGAGGCACTCTCTATACTGCAGTCAGAAATGTCACTCAAAGCACAGAGCTATCAGGTCACGTCATTACCGAAAATCCTATTGTGGTTCCCCACTGGCTCCAATTAAATAGAAATTCCTTAACAGGACCTATAAGATCTTTCATAATCTGTTTTTTTTTCCTTTGTGTCTTCAACGTAATTCATCCCCATCCCACCATGTTTTGTCCTCTAGATGGGTCAAATTACTTTTCATTCCCCAAATGCCTCAGCTCTCGGTTCACCCAGCAAATTCTGCTCACTGCTCCACTCTGAGCATGCATTTCTCTCCTCCCAGGACACTTTCTGTGCCTTTCTGAAGTCTTGGGTGGGCGCACCTTCCATAGAGTGCGGTGGGATCCTTATGGCAACAAACTGGAAGTGTCTGTTTCTAAACTCACCCGGCACCCGGCAAGTCTTTTGAGAGCAGTGATGTTGTTTGCCTTGGTTGCCGTTGTGGTGTCAGTCCCTACCAAGTGTCTGGAACACAGTGGGGCCTTAATAAATATTAACAGAGTAAATGAATGAACAGAGAAAGGGAACCAAGAAGAGTTAGTTAAGATTATTTGATTGCAAGCAAGAGAACCCACCTGAAGCTAATTTAAGCAAAAAGGAATTCTGGGGTAGGATGTGGAGTACTCAGATAGGAAATGTGCAAAAGCCACGGCAGCTCTAGAGGAGCAAGAATGCAGGCTGATACAAACAGGACAGTCACAGAGGCACGCCGGCTATTTTAATCTCTTTTCACTCAGCTTCAGACTCAGATTCAAAACAGAGAGCAGCCGAGGAGCCCCGCTTCAGCCATATGCCTCAGCCTGGCGGGCACAGCCCTGGGGAGCGCGTGCAGCGGGACAGGGAAAGTGCAGCGGGGACCGGGCTCGGTGTCGGAGGCCGAAGACAGCAAGTGCCCGAGAACTTGCAATTCTGAGTTCTCATTAATGACATTTTAAGAGATCACAGGTATTGGCTTTTAGATTTAGGTTTGATGGTTTGGGTGGGAGTGGAGAGAGCTGAGGCCAGTGCAGCACCAGACTGATCTATAGGAATGGCGGGCACTGCTCTCCCACGAGACACAATGCTGGTTCTACGTAGGACGGTCACGTCCAACCACGCCATACAAGAAGCACCAGTAGGAGCACAGAGAACAGCAATGACAATTGAGAATGCATTGTGAGATGGGTTAGAGGATAATGCTTCTGCCATCAAAGTAAGATTAAAAAGTGGCTTTAATAACTTTTTATTTAAGATTAAGAAAGATTATACAAAGATTTTTTTCCTTTTCCTCTTGTCTAAGATTAAAAGAGAGTCAGTAGGTTTAAGTGAAGTGTGAAGAATTTAGAATCCATAACAAGATGTATGCATTGAAAATAGAGACTGTGTCATACTTTTAAACACACCCTCATGTCTTGTGCTGTACACAATGGAAAGTAGCAACCAGAAGCACACAATTTAAAGTCAAAGAAATTAGGGCTTTGCCATTTGCTGACCATGTGACCTTGAAGAAGTAATTTCTCTAAGCCCCAGTTTCTTATCTGTACAATAAATGTGGTAACACAATGCAATCGTTGTTTGGGTTTAATAAGATCCTTTATGTTAAGCTCTAAGAACAGCTCCTAGGACATAATAAGTACTCAATGAATGACAATTAAGGCTCAGTAAATATTTGTTAATTATGATCATGGTTTTCTTAATGCAAATTTATTAGCAATAAAATATTTTTTCATAATGTATTATAGAAACTGTATCTTTTTCCAGTATTTAAATAAGAAAAGAACTCAGACCTTCCTGGTGTGATTTAATTGGAGCTCTGCTTGAAGGCAGGAGCATGAACTGAATGGAATCTCCTGTTCTCTCCCTTCTCTTGTTGCACCCATCCATCCATGGGAAATCGGCTTCCTGCCTACTGCCTGAAGCATCTCTTATCCTTTTTAAAAGGGAAATTAGACCGCTCAGTAACATTTGGTAGCTGCTCTAGGAAGGAGGCTTTGCCAGACTCCACCATCTTTTTCTGTCTGACTTACTGTGGTCCCCAAATATAGGCTGGCTGTTCTTTAGTATCCTGTATCCATTGGGAAGGTTAAAACAAAACATATGAGACTTGTGAAAATGGAAGGAAATTGAAACCACAAGTAAGTAAAGAGGCAATGGACAGAGATCTGAATTCTTGGTGAGTCTCACACTGTCTGACAGACTTCATCATTTGCTGACTTGGCAGGAGATTTATTCAGCATTCTAAGCCCCAATTTTCTTGAAACTGAGAGACCTTCCAGATAAGCGACTACAGCACTATTTGCAAACCTGCTGCTCAGCATGTGACAGTATCAGAGGTGTCCCTCAACATAGTCCCACATATCTTTAGAAGGGGTTCCTAAAATCACAATTTTTTTCTTTTTCTTTTTTTACCTTAACAGATCAAGGTAAAATCTCAATTTTTGATAGCATCATTGTTCTCATTATCATCACCCTGAAATTTCACCCTGCCACTCAGATCCCATATTAGGTCCTTGCCCCCAGCAACCTCTTCATCACCTTCCTCAGAGGCTGGCATTCTCAAAAGAAGTTAATAGCTTTATTCTCTGAGAAAATAATAAGTCAATATCTGAGATGACCCAGCTGTTTTTGCAGAGCTGGAAGAGGATGAAGAGAGACTCACAGAAAGGTAGATGCTGCCCACAGCAG